TGGATGTCATCAGGAATCAAACCAGTGCTGAAATCATCTTTTGACCACTTTGACAGACACCCAGAGAATATCTAAATCTTCAACTAATTTCTCCGCGGATGTTCCGTCTCCACTTTGTAACAAATTACGGAAAGATTTCAGAACATCTTTGGACACCACATCGCCTGGATAAATATTCATAACCAAAGAACGCACGGCCTCTTGCGCCCGCAATACGAATGTTACGGGAAACCACTGACAAAACATGACGGCAAGGCTTTGCACTGATCTTGGCTGTGAAAAGTTGTAGTAGATTTATAATAACAGGAAAATCGGTTTTGTACTTCAAAAGCAGCAGTAAGGTAAAAAGTGACCAATTGGCTGGTGGCTTTGAATTTTATTTTAATCGATTTGGCTGAAAATCAAAGTTATTGTTTGTATAATTATCGTGGCATGAAATAGTTAATCGCCCGCTGGCGACCAGTTGTGAAATTCTGGTCACCAGCGCAAAATTTTTAGTTGCATTGGCGACCAGGAAGGCGCAATTTCGGACCCTGAATGAATTGTTTTATGCTAAGCGTGTACATGTCTAGGTACGGATACATACAGGAAGTTTGGAGGGCATTAGAGAAGAACAAGAGTTGTTCAAGGTGCAGCTTAGAACAACTCTAGCTTCTTGAGTGCTCTCCAAACTATCTGAACATGCCTCAATCAGTTGAAGAACAGTTGAGTGAGGACAACATCCCCAGCTCTGTTTGGCACAAATCATTCATTCAAGTGGTTAAATACTCTCTCTTTGAAGAAAGGATTGTTCAGCAACTTTTCAGTGGCATGCAGTGTACCTTAAGTTTATAATTTTTTTGCAAGGAAACTTTCTGTGTTGTGGCCCACATTGAACGGTGAATATAGTCTGCGGATCGATCCGTCATAAAATATTCTCTCTTGGCACAAATTGTTTGTTCAAACTTTTGAAGATGGGAATGTTTATTTTTAGATTGTTGATCCGACAGCAGATTACTATCTATTTATTTAAGTGACAATTCAAAACTAAACTCTCTGTGTTGGTCTCTCTGGCAAGCTGTCATCATCAAGCCATTGAAAACAACAATGACTTGTCAACAAAAGAAGAAACAAAATGTTAGCTCATACATGCTAATGAAGCATAAGCGCATGTAATGTATATGTGTATGCATGTACTTGTGCGTTTATGGCTGAAGCAAATTATGCATATTGCTTATTTCTGAGTTGCACTGTACCAAAAAGAGAATTCTAAGAAAATCTGTGAAGAAAAAGTGTTTTATTCTTTAAAAAGGAATGCTGTTATTATGATTTTTGTTTGAGATTCAAGGCTGTCTCTGAAAAATGTGTGGGTACCCCCCTTTTTTGGGGGGGAGGGGCGGGATTCCAATAGCCCTCGCCAAGATACTTTCCTACATATATGTATGGTCGTAAGATGGGGAAAAGACCTTTTTATTTAGTAGGCACCATCCTTAATCTATATAATTCTTTTTAGGTATCCTTTACTACAAAAATATATCACCCCAACATAAATGCAAATGGCAGTATTTGTCTTGATATCCTACGATCTCAGTGGAGTCCAGCACTTACAATTTCTAAAGGTAAGAGTGTTTTCTGAATATCTTGAAAATTGCAGATTGCTTAATGTTATAATGTACATGTGCTACAATGTTTCACTTTGTGTTTTTTGTGGTAATGGTCTTATGAAATGACAAATATGTGAACCATTTATTTTGGAACCATACTTGAAGTGGATAAGTACAAGTGTGAGGTGGTCTTTAAAAAAGTCCTTGAAAATGAAAATGTCTGGTTTTCTCCATGAAAAGTCGAAGCATTTTTCACCACAAGTTCTCAGTTATTGCTGAATTGTCCAATGCATGTCCAATACCCACTACTTGGTCAAGTCCTGAAGGTTAAGATTCAAGTGCCAAGACTTGTACGAGTAATAAAGTAAGGCTTACAATTGGCACGACTGCTTCAAGTAGTGGATGTGGTACTTGTCAGTGAAATAATAAAGATAGGCTGAAATGTCTATAATGAAATGCAGTTTTGCCAGTTGCATGAGTTGACAAGGCCACTTCCTCAAAGTTGAGCTGAAATATTCTGTGTCTATCATAAGATGTAATGTACCAAGTAGTACTTTCTTTTATCTCACTGAAACGTACCACATTCACCACTTGAACCAATTGTACAAATGGTAAGCCTTATTTTACAACTTGTACGAGTCATACAGCCTGAACTGCTTGAATCAAAGCCTTCATGACTTGAACAAGTGGTAAGTATTAGACAACCCTTGAACTGTCCTTGAAAAGTCATGAAATAGTCCTTGGATAAAATGGTCTGAGGTCTGTGGGAACCACGAGATTGTGGAAAAGTGCCCATCATTCAAAGAGTTCGCGCATAAGTGTACTTGCAGTTGAGGGGAGGGGGTCCTCCTAGGGGCTGTTCCCACCCCTTTCCTCCCTCTGGCTCAGTGTGACTGGTGCCTGTTTTTTCTTTTCACATGGGGGCTCATGGTTGGGTTACCAGGTTTTTTCCAATTATGCGAGCAGTCTTCATATCAGAGCTGGCTGGTAATAATGGAAGATCCTAGATGTCTCAGGCACCCAACCTCCATTTTGTGATCTGTGGAGCCATGCAAAATACCTGCAGATAATGAAGATTTGCATGGTTTAATTTTTTGGTTATATTTGTGTTTCAGTTCTTCTGTCAATATGTTCCTTGCTCACTGATCCAAATCCTGACGACCCCTTAGTGCCAGAAATAGCCCGGATTTATAAAACAGACAAGGGTAATTATGAGAGATTAGCTACAGAATGGACTCGAAAGTATGCCATGTGAACTTTGAAGGACCTGACTTTCTCCTGTCATGCAAGAAGTTTGGCTGTGTGCTCTAAACTTATTGTTATGTGTAAGGTTATTTTAAGTCCTGTGTCCTGTAAGTTATGTCAAATACTTTGTTTGTGCATATTGTCGTAATTCTGTAGTAATTTTTCATTGATGCCATCAATTTGATGACATGTCGCTCAATGATGTTGGGATTGAGTTTGAACACCTGGTACAAAAACATTACCTAAGTGGTTATCAGAACATGAAGTGATTAACACTAATTACCAAGATAATCCAGTGAACCAATGAAGACTAAAAGCAAATACATTCAACTTTCACAAAACATGAGAAAATACAACTGAACCGGTCATGATTGGGTTTGGTTTTTCTTCTGATTGGAAGACAAAGTGGCACGAGTTTTTTTAAGTGTAATTTGCAAAACCAAAGGAAATACATATTACTTTTGACACTTAAGTGGAAATGGCTCTGAAGGTTGAAGGTATTAATTCTTGAAGTGAGTCAGTTAGTACTCAAGTTCCATGAAACCATATGCCATCATGGCTGAGAGTTTGAGTAAATCTAAATCCTTTCAGGCCATATTTGTAAACCAGAGTCATTGCTGTTGACGGTGATGGGACCAAATGTTGGCCTAATGCACCGTACAGGTTAAAATTTGTTAACCAGTCATGACATGTTTGATGCCCATTGAGGCCATCGTTTTTTGTACCTCATGTTCACACAGTTAATAATGAAAACAGGAATAGTACCGTAACCATTTTGAATTACTGTTTGAAATGGGCCTGTTTTCTGGTGTAGTGGTTCATGTGTCCATTTATCAAATTCAGATCTTGATTAATGCACATATAGTGCAGTAAATGTTTGTTAGTGGTGATGCTTTTTGTGAGTGTTCTTGTACGTGTACATATGCAGTGATTGTTAATAATATCAACACTTTCAGCCTCACATTCAACATCTAAATTCTCCTTAAAATGTTGTGAATTATTTTACACTGTTTTTTTCTGAGGATTAAGTAGCAGGTAATGTACAGAATGATGTATTTTGTTAACTGTAGTAGTTTCTTTGGTTTCAAGTTATCTCTAAGAAGAAGTTAGGTGTTGCTTGCTTGTGACATTGAAAGTGTTAAAACCTACTTTTTTACTATCACAGTTTTGTATTAGTTGTAAATCCAGTTTACGTCTGTAAATTGGCAACAGTATAGCTTGTAACTGACAGTGAATGGGTTAGATGCCAAGGAACCCCCTGCTTATATTTTATTGCTAAGGATAATTAAGATTACCACAAGTGCAATAACTTTAAGCTTGAGCAGTTACTAAGTTGTCTTTTTGTCGCCTATGGATGTTGTGAATAAACAGATAATTTAGCAATTGACTCAATACCTGTGACTTGGTTTCTTGCACTACACCTCAGATTTTCCTTCTATTTTGCCTATTTGTTGTTTGCTTTTCCTTTGTCTAAAAACGCTTGCTTATTGCAAGCACTTTATGAAATAACTATAGAATTAGGAAATAGAGTACATTTTCTCCTTGTTTAGTTATAAAAGTGTGATGGACTTTTTTAAGACCTTACATGCATGTTTTCACAGATGTTTCAAGTTCATCTAGACTTCTGCTCAGAAAGAAGTATCGTAATGTTTTCTACTTCTGAAATCGAACATGGTTGTATTGTCTTGTTAGAAATCTTACCCTTATTTTATAATTTAAGAGATTGAAAACAATGTTTCCTTTACATAAACTGGTGCAAACACTGGAAGAACATAAAAGTTTCACGATTTTGATTAATTCCTTGGCTTTGTATGGTTACGTTTGTAGGTTCACTCAGTCACCTGTTCAGTGTTCTCTTCATGAGTTAAGAAAACCAGAGGCTTTTCTATCGTTCTGCCCAGATTCTCTTTGTGATCATCCTCCAATCTTTCTTCCCCCTAAATGGATAGTCTCCCTTGCAGCTTTCATTGGGATCACAAAATGCTTCTCCCCTTCAACACTTCTCTTCTCAATGGTAGAAGTGTAGGATGAGCTTGGAGAAAGTCTGCCTATAATGCTAGGTCTTTTCTGGTTTATATGAGATATTTAATCTTTCAACATTAGCACATTTTTTAAGGGTTGGAATTTTTCTGTTGTTATGTCTTGAAAAACCCTGAGGCCTGATAACTGTTCAGTGCTGATCAACTTTCAAGAACGATTGAACCCAGACACTTGCACCATGCTGTGTAGACACGGCTGTGCGCATTTTCTGTTTCTTAATGATTGACAAGAAGCTTACCAAGCATCATATTTAAGCCCAAGATTTCCTCTGCAGTGTAGTAATATACAGTGGAACCCTGCCTTACGGCCACGCCATTAATACTGCCACCTTATTCTGGCCCGAACGAAAGCTCAGTCATTTTCTTATTTAGAAAACGGCCATCCTGTTAATACAGCCAGATTTCTGTGGCCTGTCGGTGACCAGATTAACGGGGCTCCACTGTACAACCATTTAGCAACACTTAGTACTGAGATTTAGGTGCAGCTTAGTGCACAGTGCTCCCTGGCTGTTCATGTAGTTAATAGGGAGGGTAGTTAATATTTTTTGCAGTTGATGGTTAGCAAATAATAGTGTAGCTGTACTGGAATCAGCTTTCGCCTGATAAACTTGAAAGAAAAAATGTCTGTCTGTGCATTGGTGAAAAAATATAGAGCACAAATAATGACAAATATTGTAAATGACTCCTGAATATGGCCAAGCACTTTAGCTACATACACAGCTTCATGTATAATCATGACGAGTGCCAATAAATTTGAACTTTTAGAGAATTTAAGTCACACACTGGATGTTAGTAGCCCATTATTACTGATTAGGCCGACTGAAGTGAAAATATGATCATGATTTTAAGCTGTGTTTGGCCTGTCCAGAATGCCTACTTTTTCACGCTCCCCACTTGGGATAATAACCTTCGCCGAGTTACGCAGTGATTCTCCCCAGAAGAAGCGTTGCGTGAGGCGTTGGCAGACGCATTGCGCCCACGGGCAGATACAGGGTTTTTTAGCGGGGGAAGCTAGGGTGGGGAGGGCGGTGGCTAGTACCTTGGGTTTGCAGAATTAACGGGGCATTCCTCCAAAATGTTGTAACTAAAGAATTAGAGCTCAATTTAAAACTGTTACGCCAGAAATACTTGGAACGCCTGAAAGTGGAGATTACAATGAGGTAACTGCAAGACTTTTTGCCTTCGCTTCTACCATAATATTCACAATTTCCTTTTCTTTCTTTCTTTTCTGTTGTTGTTTGTGGCATGAAATAGTTAATCGCCCGCTGGCGACCAGTTGTGAAATTCTGGTCACCAGCGCAAAATTTTTAGTTGCATTGGCGACCAGGAAGGCGCAATTTCGGACCCTGAATGAATTGTTTTATGCTAAGCGTGTACATGTCTAGGTACGGATACATACAGGAAGTTTGGAGGGCATTAGAGAAGAACAAGAGTTGTTCAAGGTGCAGCTTAGAACAACTCTAGCTTCTTGAGTGCTCTCCAAACTATCTGAACATGCCTCAATCAGTTGAAGAACAGTTGAGTGAGGACAACATCCCCAGCTCTGTTTGGCACAAATCATTCATTCAAGTGGTTAAATACTCTCTCTTTGAAGAAAGGATTGTTCAGCAACTTTTCAGTGGCATGCAGTGTACCTTAAGTTTATAATTTTTTTGCAAGGAAACTTTCTGTGTTGTGGTCCACATTGAACGGTGAACATAGTCTGCGGATCGATCCGTCATAAAATATTCTCTCTTGGCACAAATTGTTTGTTCAAACTTTTGAAGATGGGAATGTTTATTTTTAGATTGTTGATCCGACAGCAGATTACTATCTATTTATTTAAGTGACAATTCAAAACTAAACTCTCTGTGTTGGTCTCTCTGGCAAGCTGTCATCATCAAGCCATTGAAAACAACAATGACTTGTCAACAAAAGAAGAAACAAAATGTTAGCTCATACATGCTAATGAAGCATAAGCGCATGTAATGTATATGTGTATGCATGTACTTGTGCGTTTATGGCTGAAGCAAATTATGCATATTGCTTATTTCTGAGTTGCACTGTACCAAAAAGAGAATTCTAAGAAAATCTGTGAAGAAAAAGTGTTTTATTCTTTAAAAAGGAATGCTGTTATTATGATTTTTGTTTGAGATTCAAGGCTGTCTCTGAAAAATGTGTGGGTACCCCCCTTTTTTGGGGGGGAGGGGCGGGATTCCAATAGCCCTCGCCAAGATACTTTCCTACATATATGTATGGTCGTAAGATGGGGAAAAGACCTTTTTATTTAGTAGGCACCATCCTTAATCTATATAATTCTTTTTAGGTATCCTTTACTACAAAAATATATCACCCCAACATAAATGCAAATGGCAGTATTTGTCTTGATATCCTACGATCTCAGTGGAGTCCAGCACTTACAATTTCTAAAGGTAAGAGTGTTTTCTGAATATCTTGAAAATTGCAGATTGCTTAATGTTATAATGTACATGTGCTACAATGTTTCACTTTGTGTTTTTTGTGGTAATGGTCTTATGAAATGACAAATATGTGAACCATTTATTTTGGAACCATACTTGAAGTGGATAAGTACAAGTGTGAGGTGGTCTTTAAAAAAGTCCTTGAAAATGAAAATGTCTGGTTTTCTCCATGAAAAGTCGAAGCATTTTTCACCACAAGTTCTCAGTTATTGCTGAATTGTCCAATGCATGTCCAATACCCACTACTTGGTCAAGTCCTGAAGGTTAAGATTCAAGTGCCAAGACTTGTACGAGTAATAAAGTAAGGCTTACAATTGGCACGACTGCTTCAAGTAGTGGATGTGGTACTTGTCAGTGAAATAATAAAGATAGGCTGAAATGTCTATAATGAAATGCAGTTTTGCCAGTTGCATGAGTTGACAAGGCCACTTCCTCAAAGTTGAGCTGAAATATTCTGTGTCTATCATAAGATGTAATGTACCAAGTAGTACTTTCTTTTATCTCACTGAAACGTACCACATTCACCACTTGAACCAATTGTACAAATGGTAAGCCTTATTTTACAACTTGTACGAGTCATACAGCCTGAACTGCTTGAATCAAAGCCTTCATGACTTGAACAAGTGGTAAGTATTAGACAACCCTTGAACTGTCCTTGAAAAGTCATGAAATAGTCCTTGGATAAAATGGTCTGAGGTCTGTGGGAACCACGAGATTGTGGAAAAGTGCCCATCATTCAAAGAGTTCGCGCATAAGTGTACTTGCAGTTGAGGGGAGGGGGTCCTCCTAGGGGCTGTTCCCACCCCTTTCCTCCCTCTGGCTCAGTGTGACTGGTGCCTGTTTTTTCTTTTCACATGGGGGCTCATGGTTGGGTTACCAGGTTTTTTCCAATTATGCGAGCAGTCTTCATATCAGAGCTGGCTGGTAATAATGGAAGATCCTAGATGTCTCAGGCACCCAACCTCCATTTTGTGATCTGTGGAGCCATGCAAAATACCTGCAGATAATGAAGATTTGCATGGTTTAATTTTTTGGTTATATTTGTGTTTCAGTTCTTCTGTCAATATGTTCCTTGCTCACTGATCCAAATCCTGACGACCCCTTAGTGCCAGAAATAGCCCGGATTTATAAAACAGACAAGGGTAATTATGAGAGATTAGCTACAGAATGGACTCGAAAGTATGCCATGTGAACTTTGAAGGACCTGACTTTCTCCTGTCATGCAAGAAGTTTGGCTGTGTGCTCTAAACTTATTGTTATGTGTAAGGTTATTTTAAGTCCTGTGTCCTGTAAGTTATGTCAAATACTTTGTTTGTGCATATTGTCGTAATTCTGTAGTAATTTTTCATTGATGCCATCAATTTGATGACATGTCGCTCAATGATGTTGGGATTGAGTTTGAACACCTGGTACAAAAACATTACCTAAGTGGTTATCAGAACATGAAGTGATTAACACTAATTACCAAGATAATCCAGTGAACCAATGAAGACTAAAAGCAAATACATTCAACTTTCACAAAACATGAGAAAATACAACTGAACCGGTCATGATTGGGTTTGGTTTTTCTTCTGATTGGAAGACAAAGTGGCACGAGTTTTTTTAAGTGTAATTTGCAAAACCAAAGGAAATACATATTACTTTTGACACTTAAGTGGAAATGGCTCTGAAGGTTGAAGGTATTAATTCTTGAAGTGAGTCAGTTAGTACTCAAGTTCCATGAAACCATATGCCATCATGGCTGAGAGTTTGAGTAAATCTAAATCCTTTCAGGCCATATTTGTAAACCAGAGTCATTGCTGTTGACGGTGATGGGACCAAATGTTGGCCTAATGCACCGTACAGGTTAAAATTTGTTAACCAGTCATGACATGTTTGATGCCCATTGAGGCCATCGTTTTTTGTACCTCATGTTCACACAGTTAATAATGAAAACAGGAATAGTACCGTAACCATTTTGAATTACTGTTTGAAATGGGCCTGTTTTCTGGTGTAGTGGTTCATGTGTCCATTTATCAAATTCAGATCTTGATTAATGCACATATAGTGCAGTAAATGTTTGTTAGTGGTGATGCTTTTTGTGAGTGTTCTTGTACGTGTACATATGCAGTGATTGTTAATAATATCAACACTTTCAGCCTCACATTCAACATCTAAATTCTCCTTAAAATGTTGTGAATTATTTTACACTGTTTTTTTCTGAGGATTAAGTAGCAGGTAATGTACAGAATGATGTATTTTGTTAACTGTAGTAGTTTCTTTGGTTTCAAGTTATCTCTAAGAAGAAGTTAGGTGTTGCTTGCTTGTGACATTGAAAGTGTTAAAACCTACTTTTTTACTATCACAGTTTTGTATTAGTTGTAAATCCAGTTTACGTCTGTAAATTGGCAACAGTATAGCTTGTAACTGACAGTGAATGGGTTAGATGCCAAGGAACCCCCTGCTTATATTTTATTGCTAAGGATAATTAAGATTACCACAAGTGCAATAACTTTAAGCTTGAGCAGTTACTAAGTTGTCTTTTTGTCGCCTATGGATGTTGTGAATAAACAGATAATTTAGCAATTGACTCAATACCTGTGACTTGGTTTCTTGCACTACACCTCAGATTTTCCTTCTATTTTGCCTATTTGTTGTTTGCTTTTCCTTTGTCTAAAAACGCTTGCTTATTGCAAGCACTTTATGAAATAACTATAGAATTAGGAAATAGAGTACATTTTCTCCTTGTTTAGTTATAAAAGTGTGATGGACTTTTTTAAGACCTTACATGCATGTTTTCACAGATGTTTCAAGTTCATCTAGACTTCTGCTCAGAAAGAAGTATCGTAATGTTTTCTACTTCTGAAATCGAACATGGTTGTATTGTCTTGTTAGAAATCTTACCCTTATTTTATAATTTAAGAGATTGAAAACAATGTTTCCTTTACATAAACTGGTGCAAACACTGGAAGAACATAAAAGTTTCACGATTTTGATTAATTCCTTGGCTTTGTATGGTTACGTTTGTAGGTTCACTCAGTCACCTGTTCAGTGTTCTCTTCATGAGTTAAGAAAACCAGAGGCTTTTCTATCGTTCTGCCCAGATTCTCTTTGTGATCATCCTCCAATCTTTCTTCCCCCTAAATGGATAGTCTCCCTTGCAGCTTTCATTGGGATCACAAAATGCTTCTCCCCTTCAACACTTCTCTTCTCAATGGTAGAAGTGTAGGATGAGCTTGGAGAAAGTCTGCCTATAATGCTAGGTCTTTTCTGGTTTATATGAGATATTTAATCTTTCAACATTAGCACATTTTTTAAGGGTTGGAATTTTTCTGTTGTTATGTCTTGAAAAACCCTGAGGCCTGATAACTGTTCAGTGCTGATCAACTTTCAAGAACGATTGAACCCAGACACTTGCACCATGCTGTGTAGACACGGCTGTGCGCATTTTCTGTTTCTTAATGATTGACAAGAAGCTTACCAAGCATCATATTTAAGCCCAAGATTTCCTCTGCAGTGTAGTAATATACAGTGGAACCCTGCCTTACGGCCACGCCATTAATACTGCCACCTTATTCTGGCCCGAACGAAAGCTCAGTCATTTTCTTATTTAGAAAACGGCCATCCTGTTAATACAGCCAGATTTCTGTGGCCTGTCGGTGACCAGATTAACGGGGCTCCACTGTACAACCATTTAGCAACACTTAGTACTGAGATTTAGGTGCAGCTTAGTGCACAGTGCTCCCTGGCTGTTCATGTAGTTAATAGGGAGGGTAGTTAATATTTTTTGCAGTTGATGGTTAGCAAATAATAGTGTAGCTGTACTGGAATCAGCTTTCGCCTGATAAACTTGAAAGAAAAAATGTCTGTCTGTGCATTGGTGAAAAAATATAGAGCACAAATAATGACAAATATTGTAAATGACTCCTGAATATGGCCAAGCACTTTAGCTACATACACAGCTTCATGTATAATCATGACGAGTGCCAATAAATTTGAACTTTTAGAGAATTTAAGTCACACACTGGATGTTAGTAGCCCATTATTACTGATTAGGCCGACTGAAGTGAAAATATGATCATGATTTTAAGCTGTGTTTGGCCTGTCCAGAATGCCTACTTTTTCACGCTCCCCACTTGGGATAATAACCTTCGCCGAGTTACGCAGTGATTCTCCCCAGAAGAAGCGTTGCGTGAGGCGTTGGCAGACGCATTGCGCCCACGGGCAGATACAGGGTTTTTTAGCGGGGGAAGCTAGGGTGGGGAGGGCGGTGGCTAGTACCTTGGGTTTGCAGAATTAACGGGGCATTCCTCCAAAATGTTGTAACTAAAGAATTAGAGCTCAATTTAAAACTGTTACGCCAGAAATACTTGGAACGCCTGAAAGTGGAGATTACAATGAGGTAACTGCAAGACTTTTTGCCTTCGCTTCTACCATAATATTCACAATTTCCTTTTCTTTCTTTCTTTTCTGTTGTTGTTTTTGTTTTTTTTGCTTCTCCGAAAAGGGGTTGGCTTGCACTTGCCGGGTCTTGGACCTTTTGGGTGGTGCTTATTCGAGGGCGGCGCTTTCTTGATAACGGCGTTCTGCGAAAAAATCAGAACATTTCAGTTTTGTAAATAATAACAAGCAAAATGGGGGCCGGGAATCGGGGCGGCACTTAATTTAAGTAAATACAGCATGCTAGATCATGCTAGGGAAACCGGGACCTGACGTGACCTCTTACCTATGCACTGCGGGTGGCGTTTTGATCAATGGCATAGGCCTGGCAAGGCTAATGACGACAGTTATAAATTTTAGGGTTAGTTTTTTTTTGTTGTTGTTGTTGCTGTGGATAAGGAAACTAATTTATATCAAGATACAATCGCTCTTCGAAATCGGGTAATTTGCGCCTCATTTCAATTCCTGATCCATACATTGACGTCGACATCGAGAAGCCTTTTGCAGTTGCGTTTTACCGCCATTCAACTGTCTCGTGTGCGTGACACACGCGTGATACTGTACTGGTGTGACAACCTGTCTGAAGTAAATGAAAAGGAGCGTCAAGGGAGCCTGAAACTAGTCATAATCCAAGATGGCGGATCGTGGCGAGCTAGAAGTCACTACAACGAAGCGAGCTCGTTTGTCGTTAGAGAGTTCTTTTGATCAAAAAGATAGCTCTGTCGGTGATTCTGATAAGGTTGAACCGTACGTTAGTTCTATTTCGCGTCACAACGTAATTGAAGAGGGTGCTAGTGAGGAAAAGTTATCAACCGAAACGATGTCACGTGAACAATGTGTCGGACATGTTGGGCACGAAAGACTAGAAAGTGAAGACTTTCCGACATGTTACAGTGTCGAAGATGGTTTAAACAATCAAGATGAACACCATTATCAACCAATAGCAGGTAAAAAGTAATATTTTATCTAAAAATCCTCCACAAAATTAAACGTTGTCAATTTTTTCATGCCCGCCATTTTGTTTTTGATGCTGTTAAGTCAACGATCGCATTTAAATTGCATCAGTTAAACCAGAACTTATCCTTTTGACAAAAAATGACGGTTTCTAACTTTTAGAAGAGAAATTACGGTTTCTTGCAGAATACCTGGCCACTTCAAATTTGCATTTCATAGAGTAATTTGTACAAGAGCAAGGCATTTAAAGTTAACAATAGAAGCCATTACTGTTCACTGAAATGCTAATTAGTGGCCAGGTAGTTTGCATTTGACTCCTAAAAGATACCACTTAAAACAGAATAGATTCAATTACCAGCCACTGTTCCACGCTAGTAGACCGGAGTCGAGAGACCATTAGAAATCGAGCCTAACAACAGAAATAAGAGCATTTTTTTATTCTTATTTCTTTGAATACACCCTTAAAGATACTTAGACAGCTTAAAGTAGTAGTATTTCATGAATGACCTAAGTGAGGCTAGAATCCTTTATATCCCTAAGCGAGACGACTAGCATCCCTGACCTTTTCATATGGGAGTTAACCCCCCCCCCCAACCCCCAGACTCAATGAAAGAACAACAAGCTTGTGTCCTAAAGTTGACCTGTTAAAGACAGAGTGATACTATATAACGAGACTGAGGTGTTCAGCCTGCTAATCACAAATCCCAACGGACAACCAATGCTCCCATTTGATTGGCTTTTTTATTCAGGTCTAATTTTAGCACATTGCCACAAAATTCTGTAGAGTGATCAGGTGTAATTTTCTGTTTTATTTTACAAGTAAACAATGCCTTTTGAACTAAATGAACAATAGCTTCAGGAGAACTGTTGACAAAGAAAATTGACTTTTTTAATTTCAAGTTCATAATTTTGTTCCTCCACTTGCAAAAGCCTATCATATGAATTCGAGCTGTTCACCCAAATTTATAAAATGCTGTGTCTAGTTCTTTTGATGCCAGAGTGTCTTTGCTCCTTCGAGGATTAACATGGTTGTGAAATAAGTTTGGAAACTAAAGCTCGTAAAAGATACAAGCAGACTGCGAAGGTAATATATTATATCTACAGTAATATGGTTATTCTTCAGCCAGTTATCTAAAAGAGATTCCATGAGGTGAACAGTGGCTGCTGTTGTACCCTTGCTGCTAATATTCAGTTGGCCTTTTACGAACGCAATTTTTTGTTTTTATTGCATTCAGCCATGTGTCTTCCTTCTTCTTTCTAACATCAATATTCAAGTGAAATCTCACTTTGACATTTTGCAAGTTTTCTTGTTTCTTCATAGTACTTTTTGTTTCCAATTTCTTTGCTCTGAATATAGTTTGAGGAATAACTCAGCATTGTTCAATTTGCATTTTGTTTGCACCATCATTACGCTCATAAATCTGAATAATTTTAAATATCCCACCAAAATCCATCTGTGTTCACTGGCTAACCAAAATCACCTCTTAGGAGATTTGTTTTCATTCTCGGCATGCTGAGATAAATGGAAACAGATAGCTCATTGTGTCCGTTGATCGCAGGCATCAGCTTTGTTATTTAGTTAGCGGCAAAATTTGAATGTTCCATGAAGTGACGAAGATAATTCATTGTTTTTTGTTCTTCAAAAGGCATCTTCTAAAGTGTTAATATAAGTTTTATTTTCACTGTATATTTACCATTTACCTTATACTACTCTACGTAAATGAGTCCATTGTTTTAACGAAAAAAATGCTTTTTCTCCATGACTTCTATGTTATGCGACCGTTATTTCGGCTATCCACCATTGCACAAAAAAGCCAACAAAGTGCTTCAAAGGTGGCGTGTCCTTGTCTTTTACAGGATCACTCCGTGTTTAAACAGATTTTATATAACATGTACAACAGTTTCAAATAGATCAAGACCAAGAATTTTGTCTTTGTTTTCCAAGGTCCTATGGGCTGGATTCAACGGCAGATGAATCTTGATGTTAATCCCGAAGATGTACTTGCCTATATGGTGCCCCATGCTCAGTTGGTAAGCCAGTATTATTACAAGCAGAATGTTATGAGCTATCATTTAATTTTGTTGACACACAATTCCCTTTGGAAAACAACCTTGGTATCAGAACCCATCTTTTCAGGAAGTTTATTCATTTGACAGTGAAGGCTTTTTTTAACAGACCTTTCTTACCCCCTCCACAAAATTTCTTTGATTTTTCTGTGAGAGGTGGAGGTGTTTTCTGTAACCTGATGCATTAGCAACTGCATTGAATTTTTATGTGAATGAAGTCCCATTGTCATATGAAAGGATGATCACTGTGAGAAAGAGTTTAAAGGTACTGAATTCAGAAATGGCCTATTGAAATGCATGCTAATTTTTTCTCTCCTCAGCCTCCCAACTTAGATCGGGCAACTCTATGGAAAATCATTATTGATATCCTCACTGAGCCTACACCAAGACAAAAGCTTGACCATGTCAACTCTCTTGATGATGTTGTAGAACTTCTCAGAGGATCAAAGAACATCATTGTTTTAACAGGGGCTGGGGTATGTTAATTAATAAAAATTAGATTAAGTAAATAAAGGTATCAGTATTTTTTGTCTATCCTTGAAATTTGTAGACATGATCGGTATCACACTTTTTAAATCTTACTACAGTGTAAATGCTTGATTGGTTGGCCTGACCTAGTCAAGGAAAAAGTGTGAACTGTGTGGCTCTGACATGTCAGCAAGTCGTTGACATTCCACAAGTTTTCAATAACACTAATCATGCTTAGTTATAGTAGCATGATATTGATTAAATATTAAATTAGATCTGTCCAGAGGATTTAAAATAATTGATTCTTTGGTGATTTTACCCTGGGGGGGAAGGGGGAAGGGACTCCCATATGAAAAGGGCGGGGGTGCTCATTGTACCTTTTGGGGGTTACAAAACCAGTTTTGGTATCTCTTAGGGTGGTCAGCCTCAAGAGGTCCACAGCAGAAGCTTCTGCTGTACCTTCTAGGGTATTGTTGTTTAGAATTGGTACCTCTTAGGGGTGAAAAAAATTTCAAGCCACACGTACAAAACAGGTTCTTGGTACCTCTTAGGGGTTCTTGTCAAAATTTCTGATGAGCAGCCCCGTCCTTTCTATATGGGGGTCCTTTTTACACAGACTTTGTACATACATTATTAATGATAATTTACGTAATTTTGTAGCAATTATTGTTAACAATATGTAGCTGGATTTACAGTACCATAAGTTTATTTTTTGTCTGAGACCTTACTTCCAAGTATTTAATTCAGATACTGTCTTGATCACTATGTACCACTGACTGCAATATGAAGTTAGAGCATAGGTGTAGCAAGACTCCCTTTGTGGTCATTCATAATTCCGATTGCTTTGCAGGTGTCTGTATCTTGTGGTATCCCTGACTTTAGATCCCGAGATGGTGTATATGCCAAATTAAGTGTGGAGTATCCTGATCTACCAGATCCTCAAGCAATGTTTGACATCTCCTATTTCTACCAGAATCCAAGGCCATTCTTTAAGTTTGCAAAGGTAGGCATTCACTATACATGACTGTATTATATGGCTAGCTCGGTGAACAGGCAAGATGAACCAGATCCCGTGGTGTGATTGGCTACTCGAAAAGGTAAGATTGCACTATCTTGCCCGCTGCAGCTTCAATGGGATTACACGCTGTGTCCAATAAGAAAAGTTTTCCCCAATTCATCAGCGTTCTTTAGTAGTGTGCACATGCAGGCAACTTGATTAGCTGTCTATTTCTAGTTCTTGTTCCCCTAGACTAGGGGCAATTTTATTAGGGGCCCTTTGACTTCCATGTATCTAGTCTTAATAAGGGTTGTACCATTGTAGAAAGATTTAAGATTGCCACATGTTTCATGAGAGCTGTAGTCTTCTGGCTAGACAAGGGGCTACAAGTAAGCTTCAATTTAGCCACATTGTAGTCATGGATGAAATAAATGCATCCAGTGTCAAAATGTTTCATAGAAACAGACCAGGTAACACCTATAGTAGGCAGTAAAGGCTAGATGGATTTGTTATATTTAGTTAGGATTTACCGGTAGTGATAAGAACTGACAGTAACCAATGATGTACTGTAGCAAAATTGCTGGCTGCTGGCACATTAATTTTTGGCTGGGCTGTAAATGCATGCATTCCTATAAATACTAACTGCAATAATCTGGTTGCTCTTTGGCCTCAGGAAATATACCCTGGACAATTCAAACCATCCCTTTGCCACAGATTCATAAAGCAGTTGGAATCAAATGGACAACTACTGAAGAACTATTCCCAGAATATTGACACTCTGGAACAGGTTGTGGGCATATCAAGGGTCATACAGTGCCATGGTTAGCCTTGATATTTTACTAATAAATACTGTACAATGTCATAGTGTATTTACTGTGCAGATCCATGGAACACTTCTTGTCAATGTTCATGAATGGAATGGCCATTGAGTCATGACCATTGGAGATCTATCTTTGATAGACTTACTGTAGCATACATGTTGTTTCTGCCAATATTGAAGTCAAGTGTGATTTGCATAGTGATATGGTGAGTGGAAAAGCTGATTGGTTACTTGCTATAGGTGAAGACCAAATAAGTAAGCTTTTTGGAGTAACCTCCTTTAAAATAATGTATCAGCAATCAGTAGTTTATGATATTTAAAGGAGGATAAATATTTTTATTACAAAAAAAAACAATGATTATTGATGTTTTTTTACATCACAGGCTCATTTTCCACTGCTTCATGCACAAGCTGCAAGTACCAAGTTTCTTGTGAGGCCATAAGAGAAGATATTTTTCAGCAAGTTAGTTGATTTTCGATTTGTAAAATAAAAATTCAATGTTCAATGAAATGTGTATACTAACTGCACACTGCGCAGATGTTGTTGGAAGCTTTAGGAATCTTCTCTTATAGCATGGTGAACAAAGTCTCAATTGTACAAAATATAATGCATTGTTCAGGAGAAATACACAACAACTCCTAAGTGCCGTTTGCTAAGTTCTTAATGCCAACATCTACCTTCTAAGTAAAGCAACAATGAATTCTCACAGCAGTTTGTTACAACACCACCATAACTGGACCAAGATGACCACTGAGATTTCCTTTTCTACATCAAAGAAGCTTGCATTTTATGAGTTGCACACCATCGATGAATAATAGCTTAAAAGCCAGGCATTTTCTTCTGAGTATCACATTTGTTTCACTTTCACTTGTGAGATTCTGCCAGTAACCATCCTCGATAGTATGCTTTATGTTCATGTGCATTTAACTTGTTTGGCTTTCTTCCCTCAGGTCATACCTCTTTGCCCAAAATGCCCACAAGATGGGAGCTGTTTTGCCATAATGAAACCTGGTATCCTTTCAATATTGTTGACATAAAAATAGTAGAAAGATGATAGACCTTTAGAATGAAACTTTAGATGTCTGATGTCCATTTTGGAACTCTTGAACTTTAGTCCAGCTTTAAGTTACTCAAGGACTGTATGTGAAGATTTTTATACAGTCAGCTTTGTTATGTCTGTGTGACCCATGAAACTTTGTGATTTTGGGTGAAAGCGAGGCTTATCCATTGCTGCAAACTCACTCTCCTGTTGACTTTTTTTGGCTAGATTGCCTCCAGTACATGTGCTGCTGTGCTTATTGACTGCAGCATGTACCCAACATACATCCTGATTGAATTTACAAGCTAAAAGTTAATTGTACAGAGATATGCAGGTTAGGACATTATCAGTCCCTTTCCAGTCAAGTTGTTTCCTTTTCGATTGCTAATTTATGTACATGTACCTTGACTCTGTTGTTCTAGATATTGTATTCTTTGGTGAGAGTCTTCCATCTGAGTTTTATCACAACCTAGATGAAGATTCTGAAAAGGTATACCTTTATGATACTAGACAGTGTAGTTCTAATAATT